ACTCTAAAGATCTACATGTGTTAATATAAATAATATTAGAACTATTTTATACATATATATATATAACCTATGTATATACCACAATTCACAATATAAGTGTCTTTATATTGGTCTCCTTTGATTTTGAAAAGCTAATGAATTCAAACTTATGTTATATTATGGTTACCACACCATTCATTTCTTGCTAGAACTGAGTTGCTTTTCTTGATACCAACCTTCTAATATCTAATTACCATATTGAATTCCAACTAATCTAAAATCGAGTTACGTCGGATCCCATTAAGAGGAAAGTTCTCCCAATATCTGTTTCTTTATTCATAATATTTAAAATTGAGACCTTATTTAAAGAGAACCGAGTTCTTTCCACTCGGATCAATAGATCATTGATGCTAGAACTGAGTTATTGCATTTACAGAGAGATCCCTCTAATTTATTAATTAGACCCAGCATCTAAATTAGACTCTGAAAATGCTGATGTGCTGGAAAGAACAGATGGACAACTGCCTCGTTACCAACTCCATTCCCAATGCTTAAACTCACTGTTTAACTAGTAAACAAGATGCTCATCAACATTTTATAAAAAGTGAGTTTTGTTAGCTGAAAAGACTTTTTGGCCCATTTCTTCCCAAAACCAGACCCATCTGTTTACAGGCATTTTTTCCCTTTTTGGCTGAACTCTCCTTTTTAATCTTCCTTTTTTGTTCATGAGGTCGGCGCGAGATTGGATTTGGCTTTTAGACAATTTAGGTGGATCTAATCGCACAAGTGCCACTGTCTTTGCTTCCATAAATGAGGGATTTGAGGTCTGCCCGAGAGTGGTGGTCAAAATTCTCCAGATGCTAGGCAAGTGGGAGTTGGCAGCATCTAGCATTACTTGTTGGGACGAAAATGATTTCGGCATGATGATAGGAACAAGGGTGAATTAATGAAAGAGAAACTCTGTAAAACATTCTAAAAATAGAAGAAGTTTAACACTTCTGGAGATGAAAGAGGCAAAATATTCGTCACAATTTCTACATGTAACAATAACCGAGGCCTGGAAAGAGGGAGAAATAAGGAGGATCCTAGTCTTAGTATTAGGAAAGTTATACGAGGATACTTAAGAGTAAAGGTGCAAATAAGGATTTCAACTTTACGTTTTTTTTAATTTAAGGATGTTAATTTTGTCAGTTTTTAAATAAGATTGTCAACTTTCAATTTTTTATAAATAAGAATGTCAACTTTCAACTTTTTCTATTTAAAGTTGTCAACTTTCAATTTTTTCTATTTAAGGATTAATTGAATAGTGATGCTAATGTGGCTAACATATTTTTTTGGGTTAAATATCTGAATTGGTCCCTCAATTTTTTTTTTGAACCAATTCATCCTTGAACTTCAAAAAGTACCAAAAACGTCATT